TTGATTCACGACTTGTCCCTTATGAGTTGTTTGACTAGTTTCGAATTATATGATTTCTTGATCTACACTTGACTCCAATGCATTTTGAAATGTCATATTCTCCAATGAATATTAAGCAAAAATGACAATTTTTAAGCCTAATACGAGAATAAGGCTAACCGAATCGCACAGAATCAATAAGAAGCCAACTGCCTGCATGTTTCAAATGCAATTCCTTTGTTTACGCCATTAACAACAGCATACCTGCAATTAAATAAATAAATAAAACAGCAGCAGCAGCAGCAGCAAAATTATCAAATAAAATTAGGATTTTTTTTTTTTTTTTAACTTTGATGCTGTAGGAAAATAGCAATAGATACTCGATTGTTTCAGTACTCTTGTTGGATTCTTGGGCCAAGAATAATCGAGAACTCGAACTAATTCTGCTGAGAATTATTTGATTTACTGGCTTTCTTTCTGTGCTTTTGTGGCTATTAGCTGTGTAAAGACTTCTCAAAATTTGGCATTTTGCATTTCTATCCTCAGAAAATAGAAAAATTTTGGACCCTTATTTTGTTCAATTGCATCACACTTTTTCTACTTTGAGCGAAATCACAGATTGTGTTATTAATGTGGTTCCTTGGTCAGAATCGTTCACAAATAGCAAAGGAGAGGATTGCACCGTTGATAGATGGCATTACTCAACAATTAAGACACCACTACGACAGATCAAATGTTAACCGGATTAAAAGTTTAAACTATTAGAGAAGGCCATACTTGCTAATTTTTATCTTCAACTTAAAGCTGGGTCGGACAGAATACATATGAGAGATGATGAATGATGCTTTCTGTCTTTGCGGAAGTGTTGGACATGCTAGTGCAAGAAAGTTTACCATTTGATTCAAGAAAACCATTAAAATGATTCTAATTGAAATTTCACAGTTATTGCATTTCCAATTAAATTTATCTACCAAAACATTAAATGGGATGGTCACAAGAGTCTCTATCCCTAGAAAGATATCACTTCCTTCCTCTCAAAGAACAAGCCAGAAGGCC